TTTTTTTTTTTTTTTTTTTTTTTTTTTTTTTTTTTTTTTTTAGTTGTCCTGAAGCAAGCATGCTTCAACTTGCACAGGGAATATGAGATCTCCATATTCAGTAGTCCTCAGAGGCCAAGACAAGCAGACAGATTGAATGAAAGCTAGACGTGAGATTACATGGGATTGGGTTGCCAGGTTCCTGCCCAAACTGTGCAAAAACATTATTTGAGTATCTGGTTAACTGAGAAAATAGAGACATTGATCATGTGACCAGCACAAGATCCACAGAACTTAATTCAGTTGCAAATGCACTGACTTGCTTATTGAAACATTTGTTTGCAGTGGATTAACATTTACATTTTGTCTTTCTAGGAAGAGAACTCTGGGTCTTGATACTGGGTCAACATCCCAGAGAACACAGAACGGGCATCCCGGAATTCAAATACGTGGGCAACATGCACGGAAACGAGGTACTGTGGCTGTTTCACTTGGTTATTTACTGCAAAACACGTTTATGCTTTCACTAGGTCTTGCGTTGTAAGCAGGACCTTTTGCGTGAACAGATTTCATATTTCTGAACCGCTATCAAAGAACTCAGTCTTGCATGTCCGTTTTCTTTAGATGGGGCTAAATTTGGAATTGGAGGCTTCTTTAAATAGATCCAGCTCTGCATTTGTTTAGTTTTGTTTCTTGTTTGGGCGAGAGGGGGCCAGTGCTGGGCTGAAGGGGCGTATTTGGTAAGGGGTGTGTGGGAAAAAGGGTCTGTACACAAAAGCATTACAGTCTGAGGAACCGGCCGGGATGTCAATGAAGAGCAGTGGACTGTGACCTTCACCAGGAAAAAAAAATTCCAAGGTGGGGTGTATGGTGGGGATCTTTTCACCAATGTGCTCCGCCCCCATGCCTATTGTGAATTCAGTACGTTCTGTCTTTGTGAGGTGGACTAAACTAAATTTGCTGAAGAGAAACTGTGGTTTGAATTGCTATTGGATGAATGGGCTGGGAGAGATTTTGTAGAGAGAATTTTACATTATTGGCTAAAATGTAAAAATACTTAATGTACTTTATTTAAAAAATTTTTTTTAAAAAGTACTCGCAGATTAATTTGCAGTGATGACCATCCTCCGTTTATGTGGCACATTACCTTTGCGGAACTTCAACTCAAAAGAACTGAACAATTATTTCAAATAAGTTTATCTAAATATCACGTGTGTTTTCCATCATGCTGCATTTTTATCCATCAGGGAAAATAATGTAATGCTTGTAATTTTAATGTGACATTGATATCACAAACACAATAGAACAGAAGGATATAACGGAACATTTTAGTCTGCTGTGTTCTGTTCCTTTGAATTACTTTATTTTTATTGTCCACGGTAACAATATGGAAAAGACCACAAATACTGTACTCTTGTGATCAACTCTCCCAGTTTAATGAACACATCCCATAAATAATTCACTGGAATGTGATAAAGCTGTCATTTCCCCAAATCTTCGTTCAGTCTCTTTTCTGGTTTGTTTTCACGGGTGATTTTTAGAATGTTATTTAAAGGGGTCATGAACTGAGAAATCAAAATTCCTTGATCTTTTGATAGTCATTGTGCTATAAAAACATCCTGTAAGTTTCAGAACTGAAAACTTTCTCGTTAGTCTAAAATTTGCCAATATGACAGGTTGTGGAAATGTGCCACTTTATGAAATGA